AGTATGCAATTTTTTTTAAATTTTTTTATAATATAATTTTGGTATACCAGCATACAGTAGTGAAACAATTTATGTAGGCGATTCCTTTTTGCAATATTAATGTAGGGAATATTCACTTGTTCAAGCGAAAAGTACTGATTTACGGACTATAAGTTCGATCCAACTTTATTTTCTTTCAATCTTAATAATATTCAAAGCCAATTAGAATCCTACATTGTTTTACCTTTTTCCTTACTTTCTTTACATTTTTTCCATTTAGTTATTTGTTCATTGCTTTCTCAAATCGATTCTATATTAAAAATACCATAATATTATAGAATTTATATAGAATTTAACTATCATTTTAAGTTTAGATTATTTTCATTTCAAAAGAGAGTTATTCAAAGGTAAATATTAAATAATAAATTTTTTATTTAGGTTTAATTTTTTTTTTATATATGTCAACCTACATACCTGTTTGTAAATTATGTATATCATGTTGTATTTTCAAAAATAAATTAAATAAAAACAAGAAAAATATAGGTAGGTACTAAAATATAAACTTATACGGAGAGTAAATTTTTAATTGTTTTTCTTATCAAAATTGATCTAAATTTAAAATACAAACAGATATATTATACATACATTCATATACATATCATGTATATTATCTAAATGATATTATATTCAATTATGTGTATAGGTACGTATGTGTTCATAATATAAAATTAAATAGATAAAACTGTATAACTATTTTTTTGAATATAAAGTTTGCATGGATGAAGAATTCGATATGAAAGAAGCCATACACAAATATAATATGACAAGTTTAAACATACAAACATATAGCTAATATATATGCAGATATGTACATTTATAAATGAAATTTAAAATAAAAAAAAAAGAATATGTTTGAATAAAAAAAAAAAAACTTTTCAAATTATAAATTTAATCTTTTATGAAAAATGAAAATTGAAGTGAAAATTCAGGAAAAATTTATATAAAAAATTCTTTTTCATTTCACTTTTTTAATGAAAATTTTGTTTTTTTTTTAAATAAATAAACTATAAAAAATTATTAGTTATTCAGTTTAACTTGAGGATATTAGAAAATTTTTGAAATTTAATTGTACTGCATAGACACCACAAAGAAATTTCATATGTTGACTATTGAAAAAGGAAATTTGAGAGTATTAACACAATAAAATTAAATCTTTTCATATAACTGCAGAACAAGTGGTTGACGTAATCGAAGGAATGAGTAAAAGACAGAAAAATTAAAAAAATTTTCTCCTCGAACTGGACTCGAATCCGTGGCTTACCGCTTTCTAGGCAGACGCTCTACCAACTGAGCTATAGAGATGTGTAGAAATTTCCGACGAATTCTTCACATTGCTTTATACTGTAAACAACATGATTACTAAGTATTGTTTACATTGAGATGCTACATACATGCAATCTTCTATTTGAAACACACAATCGTAAGAACATATGTAAGTAGGTATCGTGCCTATTACACAAACATACTGAATTACTAATACAACGTGTAGTTGTGTTTGATTAATAAATAAAAATAAAAAGTATGGTAGGTTTTTAATAAATAAGTAAGAAACTTGAGAGTTTTAATAATTGGAGTGATATTGATGAAAATAAAGTGATATTGATGGTATTTTCTCTTTTTTTGTGAATATTGAATGAAGACATACAAATAACTCTGTTGGTAATAGCCCTTTTCTGTTTTTCAAAATAAAATGTAGCTGAACAAAAAATATTTTGATGGAAACAAGTTGCCAAGTAATATACAATTTATTCTAATTTAAATATATTTTTTCTCAGTGTTCTCTTCAAATAATACAACCTTTCACATTTTATTGAAGAATTTCCACATTTATGAAACTTTTACGAAATAAATGTTAAAAAAACTTAAGGTATGCTAAATGGAATTTGAATTCGAAATCTACTCACAGATATCATGTTGAGAGCGAGTATATCAATTAGAATCTCCGAATTTTCTGTATGAAAAATATATTGTCCTCAACAGTTTCAATTTTTTAGAATTTCATTTTTTCAATAATATTTTAAAATTTTACATATATGTTTTTTTTTCCCATTGATAAACGATTAAATAGCATTTTTGTTTTTAAATAAATATTATTGAAAAATTCTATTAATTTTTTAATAATGTTATAAATTTTGTTTTTTTAATAGATTTTGTGTTTTTTTACTTCGATAATATTTTCAATTTTTATAAAATTCTATTTTTAATATAAAAACTTACATAGTTTTATTTTGTATATCAGTTAAAGCTTTAAAACATGATGTTAAAACAAAAACTAAATTTAAAAAAAAATTAAAATTGAATAAATTTTATATATAAATTTTCTATTATGAAAATTTATATAGGCCTTCTTCTTTGGCAACATTAAGCAATCTATGTATATGTGTATAACAATTTAATAAAAATTTCTTCCTTAAAGGCAAATTCACTTGATGGATTATTGGCTTGTTGATTTTAGACTGAGCGAATTTTTTAATTTTTTTATATTACACTTAATTTGACACTTCTTTGACACTAATTGGATTAATACCATATTTTATTATAAATTATGTTATAATACTCGTAAAATAGACTTTTTAAAAATATAATCGTACTAAATAATACCAACGAAAATAAGGAGACATTTAATGTCATATAAAGTACATCAGTTTGTTGGGAAACCGATGAACTAATGAATTTTAGCTTAATGAACGTAATTTTGTTAATCATGTTTGATGTTCGTTGCCTTTTCTGAAAACATACAAAGCTGCAATACAGTCATAATTTTAAATTATGTTCATACTAGTGCTTAGAACTACATATAACTCTTAACATGTATTTTCAAGTTTTATTGCATATTTTCTAAGAGTATGTTAAAAAAACAACAAATAAATTATTATTTCATTTACTACTTGTGTTCTAGCACAATATTATTTATTTGACCAAAAAACTTTACTATTTATTATACAATATGAATTTAAATTGATTCAAGTTTCTTCAATTTGACAAGATATAATAATGTTCAGAATTCTTATTAAAGATAAAATTATGCAAAGTATGAATTAGACAAAAAAAAAAAAAAACAAAAAATATTTTATTCATTGTTTATTAAAATTTAATCAAAAATTACATGAATTTATTTGAATATATTTATGTATAATAAAAAAAGGTATTTTTTTATATTACATTATTATGTATGTGTGTATGTATGTTGATGTAACAGAGAGCAAAAATTATTCATTCACATAATATGTCAGAATTTTTGATATTTTATATATGATAATATTCTTATAAAAGTGCCCGTTCTTTTCCTCTTCCAAAATTATCTTTAATAATTTTCGATATACATACAATTTTCTATTTATGTATAATCTCTATATATCATAGAAATAATTATATACATAAAAAATCTATATAAAATATATATTTATAAAATTGTAGTATAATATTACACTTGTATGCTTCTGCAATTTATTTAATTTTTTTTTGTATAAGGATATAAAAGATTCAATTATTTCATTTTTACAAGTATATGAACATATGTATTAATACAATGTTTTTACACATGTATATTATATTAACTATACAACAACATGTTTATCGAACATGTATGATAATGTGAACATAAAATTATGAAAATATTTTCTATCCATATTATATTTATGAACGTATTAGGTTCTATTTTTTTCTTTTTTTGCAACCTAGAAATTGTTATTTTATTTATGAAGGTATGTACAGGGTGCTGAAATAACAACAACAATATTATAATATATTCAAACAAGTTTTCGTATTATTTTACAGGAAGCAGCAGAATTCTTCCACACTTTTTGCGTTAATGGAATTTATTTTTGCAGAGTTCACTGTATTTTAGACTAAAGCGTAAAATTAAAGGTTTTGTACAAATTGTATTTGTATAATATTATACAAATCATTCGGAAAATCTAAACATAATTATGATAATATCAAAAAAAACAAATGCTGGGATCTTAAACATAAAGTTTTTCACTAAATAGCTTTTATTTAGGCACAAATTTCTTTTTATAATTTCTAACCAATTTACTGGTAATTGTTGTGGAACTTATTTCTCAATTTGTATTAAAAAAATGTCGATTGAAAAAATAGTTTTATTTTTAATTGGATTAAACAAATTATTATTTTATAGGACGAACACCAGATTTGGATTTTATGCAATATCAAAATTATGCCTAAATTGTCAATTAGTTAACCGACTCACCTTCTAAAATTGTCTATCATGCTGAAAACTTTCAAAATGTTCATACAAAGCGAACATTTAAGAACAAAAAAATACGTATAGGACTCTAGAGCCTGGCATCGAAATTTAACAGCACATTTTATTCAAAACTTGTACATACGGATCAAAGTTGTACTCAGTCAACGAATTACTATTTTTTTATTTTTATTGACTCTTTTATGTCTTATCACTATTATTTTATTGTCAACAATAGTAACCAATTGAAAAAATGTGAATGAATCTAAACTATGTATATGGAAAACTAAAATGCTGTAAATTGTAAGATTTTGCCTCTCAAATAATTGTCAATCAACTTTCTCGTGCATTAAATTTCAGTTAACTACAAAGCCCACAAGTATCAAATTGTTAAAATATTGTTAACTAATATACTAAACACATTTTTTTTGCTTTTTCGTTATTTTTTTTTGTTTTACTTTATAGTGTTGCTAACAGAATTAAAATTTCCTGTTAAGCATTTTGAAAACATCCTATACAACTCATAATCCTCTTGTTACAACATTTTCAAAAAAAAAATTTAATATAGTATTATTTTACTTGATTCTATTAATAAGATCAAAATATTTATATATACATATTAATAAGTATATAATAACACTATATTCCATATACATACATAAATAATAACACAAATAAAAGAGATACCTATAAAAACATATTAATTTTTTTCTTTTACTTTTTTTTTTCTATTTCTATTTGATACGTTATATTATAGCCAGTGGGCATTTATGCTAAAAAATATGAATGGGCTGGTAGTATACCACATATACATTTACAGCCGCCATATAATGGTGGAGATTGTTCATTATGGATACGTTCAGCAACATTAGATTTTGATGATGGCCTCTGGGAATGTCAAGTAACAGCAAGTGATTTTACTGCACAAGATGCTTTAACTAGTTTACCTGTGCGATTAGTTGTTAGAAGTAAGTATACATTATATATATATACATATACTCACATATAATAAAAAATTATTATAGGAATATAAAATTATACAACCGCATAATCTATAAAATATTATATTGTATTATATTATTAATGCACTGCATGTAATGTGTACCCCTTAGTTGTATACTATAATATGAAATTCAATATGAAATCCACTCATTAGGTTTACATGATTTAAGAAATAATGTATTCATATGGTATTATTAAATGGAAATTTATTATACCAAATTATTACTCGAATATTATTTATATTATGGTAATGTAAGGAATACATTAAAAATCTGTTATATTTAATAAAATATAAAAAAAACCGACTTTTATGTGTGAAAATAAGGATTTTATTATTCGAGTAAATGAAATAATCATACTTTAATATTATTTTGTTTTGCTTTTAATAAGTTGGATGAATTTAGGAAAACAATATTTTTAATCCAGTTTAATTGACTAATGTCAGATATGGATAATATATGTATGCAACATTTCGTACAAAATAGACCCTAGTATTTAATCAAAAGCCGAATAACCAACACTCAAAGTAGGCAATTCTTTAAAATTCTAATACAAAATTTTAGTTATGTTAAAGATTTCCAGTGAACTTAATGTATATTGGTAAATTTCTTCTAAACCAATTAAAATGCATAACACATCAGTAATACTAAGTCGGTATATTGTGCACAAAACTATATATAAACGAAATTTGAGATCTCGTTGAGAACTTCTCTTCAATAGTCATGTGGGTAGACTATATTTGCTAAAAAAAGAGCTATTATTAGACCTTATGTTTCTCTCATGATATTTTCGTATAAAGTGCGATTAAAACTGAAATTGAAACTGTTGAACTGCTTAAAATGTATATTAAATGTGATATACTACGAAAATATAATTATAATTTCAAAAATAAAAAAAATTTTTGTATAATTTTAATACTTTATTTAAATAGTGTTCAAAATTTACTAACCACATTTAACATAACCTTTATTTATAAAGGATTTGTACATTTTAATGTTTTAATTTTAATAAAGGTATAATAGTATTATAATTATTATACATTCAATTTAAAAATTATTACACTATTTCGTATAAATATTATGTACTTGAATGTATATTATAAAAGGTATACATTCTAAAATTATTTCAATATGTTTGAATATTAGATGAAAGATGGTTTATTTACACAAATAAAATTTAAGGTGTTTGGTTAATGTCATACTTAAGTATAGAGTTACATACAAACATTATTTATTTATTCTCATTATAGGTCTGATATATTATTATCATCATGTATGTACATTGTTATAACAAAAACCATTTTTATTGTCCTTTAATCTACGATGCTTTCTTGTTAATTATATTTATTTTTTTTTTTTATTTTTTTTTGTTATCCTACACCTGTTATATTGTTGTCATGCTTTGATTATTTAATCTGTTATACTATATATTTGTATTTTCAATAATGTTTTGTGTTTTTGTTTTTTTGTGTTATAGTTAAACCACAGAGACCACGATTGGAATATGAAGGTGTTCATGTACCACCTGGCCATAATATAACTGTTGATAATGGTGCTATTGCGACAGTTAAATGTGTATCACATTATGGTAATCCACCAGCGTTAATTAAATGGTTTTTAGGTATGTTTATTATAATATAATTACAATTATTTTATATTTGATTTTGGTTCTATTTAGTAGAAAATTGTAATTATAATGAAATTTTATTGTTTATTCAAATACTTACATAATATTATATAAAATTATTATAGTTATTATATTATTATGTAAGTGTGGCAGAAACCATACACTTCGATACAAAGAATTATTATGTAATTTCAATGGAATTTAAGCTATAGTAATTTAGTTATTTATTGGTATTAATAAACAGAATTTATAATTACGTATTCTAAATATAATTTCAATATAATGTAATATTTAACCTAAATAATATTAACTTTTTTTTTGAGAATATTATAATATTCTATAGAGTCATAATATTTAATATTGCAAATCACAATAAAAAATAATATGACCTAATCGATGGCATTAGAAACCTATTTTTCAAATAATACTTATAATTGGTGACTGAATCAATGTATTAAATTAGAAAATAAAGTTGCATTATGTCCTTAAATGCGGATTAAAATGAAAGATTTCCAAGAATTATCGTTGGAAACTTAACATATGAAATTTGCTGCCATCACAATGCATACCATATTTATTTTGTGCAATTCGCTGGGTAATTATTTTACGCGTCATTAAAGTTTTAAATATTTTCTAAGAAATTCATATACAAGCATGAATCCTTTTGAATTCCTAACTTTTACTTCTAAAGTTAAATAACAATTAATATGAAATTGCGAATTAGCGTGAAATTTTAAGGATAAAATCAGATTTCGTAATAGAATTTTCAATAATTTCACATATTTTATCACATAGCCACACTATATATGGAAATAATTTGTATTAATAATATTATTGTAAACTGTTATACAATTCTAGTTAATAAAACTTGAAAATTATCCGTATATAAGCCTTGGAATTTATATATCAAAACAATATTTGTATAATTACACAAATAATTGCTGTATTAAACTTATACAACAAATGATGTATAATTGCTGCTGACATTCCAGCTTATTAACCTACTTGAATAACCAATGAATTTTGAATATTTATTGGTTTGTTTTATTACCAAGAATTTTAAATAATCAGAATAGTTCACAGAAAAACATAAAATATTATATAATCCATTTTTCTTTCACTCAAACTGAAATTTCTCGTAGTTCCACGCAGAAATCGAGAAATTCAAGAACACTTTATCCGATAAAATTGAATACAACAGATATTTAATGTTTTATTTAAAATAAAGCCTGAACCTAAGCACACAAAATTTAAAATACAAAAAAAATAAATTTGACAAATTCAATAATTTTGAAAATATTGGAAACAGGTTAACCACGTTATATAAATCAGCGAGTACAGTTTGATAATTCTAGGAAATTTCTCTTTTTCTGCTTTTCATTTCTTTATGAAGAAAATAAGTAGCTATTGTCAGTGCCTGCTCATTATTAAAACATTAAAATTGTTATAAGAAAATTTTCCTAAAAATATGCTATAAAATTACGTCATATTAATAATATTTATAATATTTCTCCTACAATTACACACACATTTTTATGTACTCGTGTATATATGTGACGTGTTCATTATCAAAATTTAAGAGTATATAACAATACCACAATTACAATACAATTTTGTGTAACCAATTTATGAGATTTTATTTACATGAACAGAATAATTCTTGTTTTATACAAAATGTTGCGGTTAAAATAAAAGTTATTGTGACAGCAGGGATTTAAATCAGGAAAAAACGAAAACGTTGTTAAAATAATAAATTTCTTTTCATTAATTTTAAAAATTTTATATGATTGTAAAGTTGTAATCAAGGGTTTTAACATTGTTTAGAAGGTATAAATAGACGCTATGAGTAATAGAAGTTTTTAGTATAGAGATTTTTGTATGCTTGAACAAAGAGGAAAATCCTGAAGATTTTGAAAATAAAATGTCGCAAATAAGGATTCAATTTGAAATTGGTTTAATTTAGAAAAAAATTTCTATAGTTAGAAATTTTTACAAAAAATTTGTGCTTCTTAAAATAATTTTTGTAGCAGATTTGAAAATCAAATTGCAACAAAATTGCAGCGCTATAACATAATTTGTTCATAAATTAATGGGAAGAACAATTTAGCCACATAGATATAAAATTAATTTGAAGTTAATTCCGGTATATTGTATAATTTCAAATTAAAGTTTACTAATTTTTTATTTTATTATATGCTATGCTATATTTTCTTTACCTATAGTTTTGACCTACGTACATAATAAGATTACACCTTTTCCGTTCAATATATTAACAAACACTACTTATTCATTACTATTGAATCTAACGTGTTCTTTTAAATTTAGGTGATCAAGAAATAACACCATTAGGTCCACAAATAAATTCAACTGAACCAGATAATAGAAGAACATGGTCAGCAACATCTGTAGTTCAAATTCCTGCGTCACGTGATCGACATGGAATTTTAATAAAATGTGTTGCATTACATGAATCATATGCAGCAAAATCTGTAACTGTTGAAGGAAGATTAGATGTTAAATGTTAGTATAGAAATTATTTTAAATTTTTATTTCCTATACACACATATATGAATTTTTTTAAATTTTATAATAAAATGCAGATGCACCTACAATACGTTTAATAGGAGCACCAGAAATTGATTTAGAGGAAGGTAAGGATACTTTAATAATGAGATGTGTTGCTGATGCAAATCCACCAGCTAGTATTGTATGGAGAAGATCTGGTAGAACAGAAATAGCTAGTTTACAGGTAAAATTTTTTAATTATTTCGAAAATATTAAGATTTTTTGATTTCAAAAATATTATGAAGCATATTGTGTACAATAGTTATATACAATTTATATAAGATATTTATAATGTACACTATTTTTTTAATTAGGAAACACTTCAGCTAAGGCCAGTAGGTCGACGTGACAAAGGTCTATATACATGTCAAGCACAAAATTCAGTTGGAACATCTGAACAACTTTCAATTGAACTGGATGTAAAATGTAAGTGAAAAAATTTATTTTAAAATAATATTCAACATTGGTTGCTAAAATTATTTTTTGACTCCAGCAATGAAAGAAAAACATTAAAAATTTGATTCTGAAATTTTTGCTAAGTTTTTTACATTGCACATGAAAAATATTTTTGCTTTACGTAATATGACAAGATTTTCATGATTTGCGTAAAATACTTTTTATAAGGAAAATTCAGACAATTAATATTCTAAATCTAGTATACAAAGAAAAATTCCGGAATCAGAAATTTGTTTCAACAAAATTAGTACTCGTTTTCTGTTAGAACATTTTGAAAATTGTTGATTTAGCTAAATAGTTTATCAGTTTTTTCTAAAATTTCCATTATCCTATAAAATGGACCAATATTAATAGAAAAATTGATATTACAAACACAATTGTCCATATTATGTGTTTATATGAAAAATGTTTTTAGTATTTTATTTGCTTCACTTATTTTAAGAGATTACAGTTTAATTCTTTTGTACAACCACCCTAAATTTTTTCACATTTCAAAATTGTTATAAAAAAGTTTTCTTATTGTTCGTTTTTTCCTTCATAATTATTTATTATAAAAGTTTATTTTTAAAATTAAAATAAATAGTTTTTTAAATGTCTGTTTATAAAGTGGACAAGTTCAGTCTTACTTACTATTATATGGTGTAATAATTTCAAGAACGAGGACGCCATAATACAATGATAACATTATAGTAGAGTGTTTGTGTAGTGTAACGTGTATAGTAAAGGTAGAATTATTGTTCTTTAATGATATTGGAGGGAAAAGCTTAATTTACAATATTATTTTTACAGAATCCGCTATAGTTTATTTTATGCCGTTATTTTCTGTATAACATTTTTTTTGTTATACTGTTATTTTAATAATTTTTCTGCTCTATATTTTAGAAGAGTAGAAAATTTTGATTGCGCCAACTTCTTTTGTCTTTTCATTTTGTGACTTTGCTTTCTGCTTTTTTATGCCTCGGCTAAACATTATGATTATTTTTAAGTACCTTGAAATGAAGAATAATAATAATAAAAAAAAAGACAGAGCAAAGAATAGAGGAAGGATTGTGAAAGAAAATTATTTTATTTTACTTGTTTTTTCTTTTTTTTTCTTTTATATCCCGATTGTCCTTTTTTTAGCGTACTTTGTTGATTTTTTTTTCTTTTTATGCTTTATAGCAATTTATGTACCTTTTAGCGAGGCTTTTCTCTATTTTAACAGTGAATGATACAAAACTTTTACAATAACAAAATTTAGATTTTGTTTTTTTACTGTTGTTTTTTCATTGTGCATAATGATGGTTCAGTTAAATTGTTAATGTTGATAATACTGATGATGATGCTGATAATGATGGCGATGATGACGACGACAGAAATATTTTTTAATATTAAAAGCATTTCATTTTATTCCTTTTATTTTTTTTTTTTGTTGAATATTTTAATAATAGTGTAACCGCTTACAAGGATAATAATAATTTAATAGGTATATATGAAAATTGTTATATATGAAAAATTATCATCATTCTTAGAGGAATTCTTAGAAAATGAAAATAAATTTTAGTTAATAATAAAAGTATAAAAAAAAAAATTTCAATAACAATATTTACATTATGGAAAATTAAAATTTTCTCTGATTCTAGATACTTGTAATTCGTTACTCTAATAATATTTCCCGAAAATCATTTTAAAATACTTCCAGCACATTCTTTAAAATTAATTGCTATTCTTATGTACCAATTTTTTTAAAAATCGATTAAATAATTTTAAGTAATTTGGTATACCTTATACATATTTAGCTTGTAGATTTTATACTGTAAGCTTGTATTGGGCCACCCAACTAGGTCTCGAAGGAGTATTGTAGGGACGAACTAAAGATGGGTCCCCTTCGAGACCCATCTTTAGTTCGGAACAAAAAATTATATGAAATTTGATACGAAAAACATAATCGAAATATAAAGACAAGTCAGGTTAATTAAAAATATTTTTGAATTCGAGAAAAATCCAAAGGTATTTTGAAGATTTAAATGAATAATTGTGTTTTTGACATGTATTCCTCTGTGTAATGGTAATTTTAATTGAATTCTTCATAACAGAAAATTCAGAATCACTTTATTTTTAAAAGTATGTGCTTAAACTCGTAGTTCTATAAAAGGAAAAACAAAACCTTCAGTATTTTTATATTTTATTTAATCACATTGCTCTTTATTCAGATTTAATTAAAATAATTGACGCTTTTGATTAATAAAAGAATCACATAAAGAGAACGAAAGTAAATAAACCTAAATTAATTACTTTTTCAAGAAAAATATTTTCCCCTTATTTCCACTACAATATATACGAACTTTAGTAACTCAATATAAATTTTACTGTAAAGTACATGTACTGTGAATGTTTTTTTGTAATTCTTTAAAATTTCATTTCAGTTTACTATCGTGAAAAATAATTTTTTTTTTAGAAAATAATATTACGAATAATAACAATAATAAAGTGTACTTATCCTTTTTTACTGCGTTAGCTTAACTATAGATACAGAATTTCATTTGTTTTCGTATTTTAGTAATTTTATGTTTATATATTACATAGGCTTATATAACATAAGGACGTGTATATATATAAAGGTTTTATTTACAATATGCAGCGTTTTGTCGTCGCTATTTATTACTATGACACAAAAAGTAACAATGGTACAAAATCTTATTTTGTGCCATTAGCAACAACAAATAAATTTTTTTAAATTTTTATATTTTTTCTTCTTCTTAATTACCTATTAACATTATTGTTCTTCCAGTAGTTTTTAACCCACAAAAAAAATATGTTATACCCCAATACCCCAACCATACAAAAAACAAAACAAACAAACACTGTGATAATTGAGAATAAAATTGGTAAACAAAATGTTTTCTTTCAGGGCTAAGAATTAAAAAGAATGACAAAAAGAAAAAAAAACAAAAATATTTAATTTATATTATCTGACTTTTTTTTTTATTTTTACTTTTAACATAGTTGCACCAAGAATTGTATCCGCTGGTCCTGATCGTTTAACAACAGCACCATTATTTAGTCCAGCTGCATTTGATTGTGATGCTGAAGGTAATCCACCGCCAACATATAAATGGGTTCAAAGGTATGTACATTATATTATTATGTAATATATAGAAGTGTTAAAAATTTAAGAAAATTAATTTTATTCGCAAGTATACTTGTTTTTTAAGTATATAGGTATACAATCACATATACGCGCATAAAAAGAACAATGAATATTATTGTTATATAATAATAGCTTTTTGAATACGATTATTGTGTACATTTTTTATACACACCCTTATATTTTTAATTCCATAAAAAAATAATCGCACTTAAATTTTGTTATGTAAGTGGAAATACAAGAAAATTTATTATTAAATTTTGTAAATTTAATTTTCATCTAGATTAATAAATTCTCTATATATGCTGTGCACTTTCTATGATTGTTCTTTTTATTGCTTAAAATAAATAAGGATAATTATTATTTTTATAAGAATTTTTTGAATGTAATTGGAAAAAAGTAATTAAATCGAATTGATTGAATTAATTTAAGATATAAAACTGTAAAAATGCATAAGAGGCAGGAATTTATTGTAGGATTCTATTTTTTTTATTGTAAATTTATATAATTAAAATTCTGATTTGGCTTTTAATATAATTTTGTAAAATTATAGGAACTTTTTATTTTATTTTATTTTATTTTTCAGTACCCACAATTTTTTAAGCAATAATAGAAATATAACGAATTTACCTTATATTCTAAAATTTGTATAAGTCCTATAAAAACGAATTTTATAAAATGAAATCAACTTCTTGATTTATTACCAATTCCAATCCAATCACATTTTCTTTTAATTAAATCCCTGAATTTACAGTAAGAAAATGAAAATTAACAACCACATTAACCATATAATTATACATTTTTAGAAGTATTTGTTGAATAATGGGCATTGGCGATAGTTTAGTTAGGCAATGAAAGTTCTGTTACATAACGATTAGTTCTAATACGCATAGGATCTTTTGTTATTCCTATCCCTACATACATTATCACTGTATCTAGATCCCTGGAAAATTGCAGTAAAGCAACCACCTCAAGCCGCGAAACCTCCATCGAGGCGACAAAGTCCCTTCCGGAGCATCTTAGTCGTTGGTGGGCCAGAGACGGAAGACCTCGCCCTCCGCCTTGTTCATCCTTTTAAGATAAACCATCGGGAGGCAGTTTCTAGTGAATACATCCACCAATAGCCTCAAATATGGACGACCGAGTTGACTCTCTTCGGCCCCAGGTGAGATATAAATTTTTTTGGAATGAGATAGACCCGGCCAATTGCCCCAATGGTTGACCCGGAACAGTTATTCTCAGTCACTCAAAGCGCGCAATACCAAAATGATCATATATTTGTTATCCTTGATACCCCAAAGTATCATATATTTACTTTTTCATATTTGTAATGTTCTGGAATTATTAGTACATTAATATTAATATAAAACAGCACAAAAAATTACAAAAAAATATTTACATACTCGTATTTGACGTTTTCCTATTATGTTCCTCTTTTCTTTTGCTTTACATTTTCCAACATGCTACGTTATTTTTGCAGATATTGCAGTTTGAATTTATTAAACCTATTTTATATTAAGATCTAGATTAGAACTGAATAATCGACAATATATAGAATTCTTTATTGCAATTGATCGGAATACTGAAAAAAAATTGACATGCTTATTACACATGATGTTATGTAGTAAACTAAATTAAAAATTTTACAACTTTTTTTAAATTTCCTCACCAAATTTCCCCTTATTTATTCATAGTTATTGCATAAGAAGGTGTGTCATAAGTTCTTGAACATTCTTGAAGATTATTTCTTACGATTTTTTTTCCACAATTTGATAAGAGACCAATAGTATTTGTGTATTCCAAATTTTCTATTACATCCGTTACACAAATTAACAAATTAAAAGATTTAATACTGAAAAACAGTTAAATATACCATTAAATACCCTTTAAGCATTTTTATACCCTGCACTTCGTGAAGGGTATATTAACTTTGGTATGGAGTTTGTAACTACTTGAAGGAGTCATCTGCGATATGGACATATATATATTCTTGCTCAGCGTAAAATTCTGCGTCGATTTAGACATGTCCGTCTGTCCGTCCGTCCGTCCGTCCGTCCGTCCGTCCGTCCGTCCGTCCGTCCGTCCGTCCGTCTGATCGCACGATAACTCAAAAACGAATAATGCAATCGACACCAAACTTTCACAAGTTTTGTCTTTTGGGCCAAGGACGAGCCCTATTGTTATTGGACTAATTTGGACAACGGGTTCGGCTAGCTGCCATACAACTCAAAGAGTTTATTTTAAATATTTCAAAAACTAATTAAGCTATAAATATAAAATTTTGTATACATGTGTCCAATTATATTCTACACATGCTGTAAAAATTATAATGGGATAGCTGCACCGGTTCGGGTGGCTGCCATACAACTCCAACAGCAAATTTTTTATATTCGGGAAAATAATAAAGTCAGATTCATGAAACTTGGCAGTCATGTGTCCAATTATAGATCACATATATTTCTGAAGTTTTAGAGGAATTGCTTGACAGGTTCAGGTACCTGCAATACAACTCCAGAAGCTAATTTTAAATATTTAGAAAAATAATAAAGTCAGATTCATGAAACTTGGCAGTTGTGTGTCGAGTTATAGGTCAGATATATTTCTGAAGTTTTGGTTGAATTGCTTGACAGGTTCGAGTAGCTCCCATACAAGTCCAAAAGTTTAAATATTTGGAAAAATAAAGTCAGATTCATGAAACTTGGCAGTTGTGTGTCCAGTTATAAACCAAACATATCCGTGAAAAATCTATAGAATGGTTTCACAGGTTTGAGTAATTGCTACACAATAACGAAAGGTGCAGGGTATAATTCAATCGGTTTATACCGACTGAAACGTTTTTACTTGTTCTTGTTTTACAATGACATAAAAAGAAGAAAAAAAATTAAAGATATAAAAAGATAATAGAAGAATTTTTGAGTTTTTTTTTTAGTCCTTTTGTTCACAGCAAAAATATTTTGCAAATTAAGTAGTTTTCTAGAACTCTTTTAACCAACTCAACAAAATAAGAGAAAATGCAAACTTTTAATTGAAGTTGAATGTTATAATGAAAAACTTAGATAATAAATTAATTAAATTATTTAAATAACATTTTTTTTTTCAACGAAATAAAGATGGAAAAAATAAAAATGTAGGAAAATTGGAAATTATGTTAGATAATCTTTAACCTCAAAAGTTATTTTCATCTTAAAACTACTCATATACACATGAAGATTTTTACATAAGAATTTCAAACTATTTCAACAAGTTTTCTAGAATTTCAAAATTTATTAACTGTTCTCTGTCATCTTCCATTTACAAAATGGAAAAAAGTGTATTATAGGAAGAGTGCTTTAAAGGTTAAGGGTCTCAGAAGCAGAGTGGCATAAGCCACAAATAAAAATCTACTTAAAATCATTGTAATAGCTGTTAATAAGTCTTCCTTAACATATTATACAATTTTCAAAAAAATAAAAGGAGAACATAATTATATCGGTTCTCAATATATACTAGACATATAAAAAATTTATTTGGGAACTTAATATTTAATTTAATTATAGAAAATTAGAAAATATCAATCCATCCCACTCATAACGAAAATTTAAAATGAAAGTCGATTAATAATACCGATTAAATTGTTTCCAAAATAATATTCCAAAGGCATAATTTCCGTAGTTTCGGAATGCTATATACTAAATATTTGTATATTACATTGTTATACTGTATACTAAAATATTTGATGTAAGATCCGCAGAAAAGGGTTAAAAATGTGTTAATGGGCGTATAGATTCATGCATCATACATATCAATGTATGTATATGTTGTGTACGAGATATGAACAATAAGAGAAAGGAAAAAAGAAAATAAGAGAGTATAAAAATATCACGTAAATCATATTCGGAAATTTATTTAATTGAAATAAGAAAGAAGATTATAGCAAAAGAAGTAAAAAAGGAAAAAAAAAAAAGTAAAGAGATAAAAAGGAAAACTTTTATTTTTTGTTTTCTTCTCGTCATTTTTCTCCTTATTTTTCATGTTTTTCTGTTAATTTCAAGGTTTTTTTTCTTAAGAATTTTTGCCTAATCTTGAAATTTTATATAGGTTAATGAATAATTTTCCTCTTTTTTCTTGTTGCTCTTTCTTACTATAATCTTGAGTTGTAGAAAACTTTGTTAAATGTTGGAAAAAATTCAGGTCAAGATAATCACTTAATTGTAAAAGAATACAAAAAACAAAAAATAAGAGTAAAGAAAAAAGAGCAAAAGACGCCTAAAAGTAGTCTAAAAGTTAAATGTAAATTCGAAAATAGAAAATTCTTTTCTTACTCCGAATTAACAATATAATTGAATGACAGTAAAAAAATATGTGCAATTCGGATAATTATGATGCAAAAAAAAATTATAAATAGAATTTTTGGTTTTTGTAATATTTCAATATATGTGAAAAGATAGAGGAAGAAGTATATTTTTTTTAAATTTTCTAATTGTAAAATGTCAGTTTTGAATGAATTGATGAAGTTTTGAAGAAAACACTGCTGTTATTAATTAGAAATGCGGTTTATATGCTCTCAAATTTAATTTATAATGAGCAAATTAATCATAAATTTGGAAAATTTGGAAAATCTAGAAAATTTATGATTAATTCCGTCAGCATAACATGGAAATCTGTTATTTTCCATTCGGGAAATTTAAATCTTCCATAATAGTTTAGTCACAACCTTATTTTTTCGATTTTTTTTCTTACTTCTCCGCATATCCTTAAATAATCCGTTGAAATATGTTTTAATTTTGACCAGGTTATTTAAATTTTTGAATTCTTTAATTTTATATAATCTCAGCCTCACTATATAATTCTCATTTATTCACTAAGGAATAAAATTGCGAAAAATATAATTTATTTTGCCTTAAGAAAACCAAAAGAAACCTTAATAATAAAATCTATTAAGCATAAACAAAAACCTAATTGTTGAAAAAAGAAATAAATTGTAAATTAAATAAATGGAA